CCAGCGTTGCAGAGCACAGATTAGTTTTAGAATTTATTTTGTAGGAAAATTAAATTTTCATAGAAATTTCATGCTCTAACCCCGAGCAACAACTGTTGTAGATTTGTTGCATCTGTTACTTGTTCCATAAACTTGCACAGGCAGAAGCGATTGTTGGTTGTCCATGTAATATCCTTTATCGACTAAACATGACCTGCTGCACAAGATAAGCAGGCGGCCAATTAGTGAAATCCCAACATTTGTCGCACAACAAATTTGCGCACACACATGTTGCTCAAGGAAAATTGCATGTCGGCACAAGTTCTACCATAAAATACGTTTATTTAATTAATACTAAAGCTGATACGAAATTGCTTAATATGGAAAATTATATAGAATTTCAAGATTTAATTAAAAACGAAACATTAAGAAAATATTCGTTCTACTTTTAGACTTTGAAACGTTTAAGAAAATATAGTTGCACATAAAATCATTCTTTAACGTTTAAAATATGTAATAAGTTAGAAAAATATATCCGTACTGTACCTAGAATTTATGTTACTGTTTTGATATATTGCAATTTGTTATTATTTCTGCTCATATGATTTTAAAGGCCGATTAGAATTTTACAACATATTTCCAGTGAACATTCACAATAGACTAAAGACGCTTTCGCTTGACATACACATACTTCTCCACTCTGACGGGCCTGGGTAGTCCCAAGCGAAACGCGTTAGTGCGAACTTATAGAGAAGTGGTCAAATGACTTTTAAATACCTATTGATATTAAAGCCTCTCGCTAAAAAAACGTAGAAGTACGGAGACTTATATAAGCCGTAATTTTTTCTTTCAGAGTTGTAAAAAAACAGTATTAAGTCTGGTTGAAACAAGTTGGCATCACTTTTAAAATATGTTAAATGCTTTTTTTTAACAAATGTTCTTTTTTGTGTTGTGTACAATATGATATATAAAAATTGTACACTAAAAATTAATTCATTTCAATAAAAGAAAAAAAATGAATATTGGAAAGGCAATGGCAAGCATTTTTATATTATACATATATTTAAATTAATTGATTTATTTATTTATTAGTAAATGAAATGCTCATATGATTTAAACGGATAACTGGAATATTTCCAGTGAACAATCACAATAGAAAAATTTTTTAATTTAAAACCTAACTCTGAAGATTTTAAGAGCATTGTTGTTGGTTTGCATGTTTTCTTTCGAAGGTTGCGAGTATTTTTTTGCTACTCTGAAAGAAAAAATTACGGCTATTGTATATAATGAAGTATGTCTAATACATATGATAAAACATAGTAAGCCGGTAAAATTCAAATATTCTTACAATATAAAATAATTTACTTATAAAAATTATACGATTTTATTTGAAATTAAGATCCGGAATATTGTTTAAGTTTTTCCAAAATTCAATCATGTATCGTGGTTACGTTGATTTTAATTCAGACGAACTCCGTGAGGCGGCTAGTAAGAATGTCCGCCAAAATGTTATGGTGTTTTCGGGAATGATAGCCGCAATACGTATCGGTATGTCAAACTTAATCATTTTTTTTAATAATATTAACATTGCTAAATAAATAATTTATATATATTTACTTAGTTCCTTTCTTCCTACGCAAACTTGGTTATTTGTAAAATGTAGGTTAAAAATCGGCAGTCACAATTAAAAATCTCTAAATTCTATACGATGTACAAAGTAAGTTAAAAAGTTCGGCTTAATTTTTTGTATTTCTAGTTCCATATAAGTTTGGTTCTAGTTTTTTCATTAATATTCTAGATTTGATGATGATTTTCATCAGATGGTGAGGGACTAGAAGAAGCCCTAAGAAAAATTGGTTTTTGAAAGTCTAAAGGTTAACCTATACTTTTTCTTATATATTGCAGCTCTACTCTTAAAATATGGTATTTTACTAATAATCAGTAACTATGAATAATTAATCATTTATCTAAGATTTTTAGATGAAACTCAAGAATTCATTTTATTTTGTACTGTGGTGAGTATTGCGTCTTGTCTTTAAAGAATTAAGACTTAATTTTTTTGTTTATAATTTTATTTTTACTGACGTTTAATTTTTGTTTTAATAGGTTTGAGGTATATTGATATTATTTAATAATGTTATGAAAAAAATTAGTTTATTTTCCAACATAGGATATTTCTAGCATGTCCCATATACTATAACATTTATTTCAAACGAAAGTTGTTATCAGCTATCTTAAAACGTTGATTTAAGTTTTTTAATGTAAGTCTTTCCTTTCTAATTGAGTTTTGATACTAAATTTTAAAAGTAGATATATTGTAAAATTGAGTCTTTTAAATTTAAAAGACAATAACTAAGCATAAAAAAAGATCCCAGAAGCAGCAGTGTTCATATCACTCAAGCGCTATTTCCAAAAAGAAGTATACTGGATCTCTCAACGCACTATTACCACAAAGGTTCTAAGGGAAATCTATAATTTTCCAAATAGAGTACATTAAAACAAGCTGTCTATTTGGTCTTTTTAATATACTTTTTTATTAACATGAATAACTATAATCTATAACTATAGCAACCTATCAGAATTTTTTTTTGATAATTATTATTTCGACAAAATACAAACAGATATGAGTAGTTCCAAGATCTTAACTATACATTATACCATGTACTTATATTAATTATAAACATGTACACATATAATAGTGTTCATTAATTTTAAAATTAATTTTTATTTCAGCACATTCTTTATATCTACTTTGAGTTGCCCTAAATTCTTGTGCCTGATTTAACATATATATTTTGGACACTAATGGGAACATCGAAGGACCTAACAAAAATTGTGACGTATGTCGATATTTTTGCTCTACATGCTGATTTTGGAAAAACATTCCAGCTTTTTTAATCTTTCGGAATAGACTTTTAACCATTAAATTATAAAACAAAATTGTTATAAAATATATCTTTTAACCAAGCCTTTTTTAGTAATAGTAAATAAATTCAAGACTTCAAATGAAATTTATTACAAAGTAGTATATAAAGAATCAATGCTATAGTCACTATAGTCCATTTTAATTGACTACAGTGAGTTATAGGAATTATTCGGTTCACTGATTATATACTATTGCTTTGGGTCAGTAGCGAGCTTATTCTACACTCAGTAGTTTAAGCAGAATTTACTAAGCCACCGTGGTTTCCTTTCCGGTTTAGTCTAATTAGTCAGATATAGTGGTTCAAAGCTGGTTGGATTTAAAAGATACGACCTGTCATAGTCCTATTAAGATATACAATAGATAGTTAGTGCAAACTTTTTGGTGAATTTATGAAAATAGAATACCCACACAGAATGTTATGATCATAAACACTTAACAGTAGTTCAGTATGATATTTTCTATAGTAGCGTTTAATGACCGTAAAGTATGGTGACCGACTATATAGAGGCAATTTTTTATAGTTTAGTCTACTTTATAGCATGTATCTACTGCTTACTTAGTAAGTGTAACTTACATATTTAATTTTTTGTGTAATATATTTGTAAGTGAAGTATATTTAAACAAACAGAAGCTCTCTTAGAACTTTCAGAGAACTTTCTATCACATAAAAACTCTTTCATATGCAATAAGTAACTTATGTCAATGGAAACGACAAAATCTTAAGGTTACTACAGTAGCGTACTAAGTAAGCAGTGGAAACACGGTATTAAAGATTAATTTCACAATCACAATTTTGTCTTACTTATAATAGTTCCAAAATAAGGAAAAAAATTAATAAACCATGTGACGTAAGATCTATTTGACAGGTCTGAAAAATATATGATATAGAAGTATTAAATGGATTGAACTCTGCTATGATATCCCTTCAGTAGTGTGATTTAAAAAGATTCATCGATTTAAGCCATTTATTTACTTAAGTTGGATTTGCTGACTAAATAAAGATTATTTATGTGGTGTTGATATGGTTGTAATATGGTCACTATATGGTGACTGCGATGATTATATGGTAATTTTGTGGTGATTATAAGGTACTTACATGATGTATATATAGTGGCTACATGATTCTTATATGATTGCCATATTGTGACTGTTTAGTATTATGTTAAATATATGTAGTCGATATGGTTACTATGAGGAAACTACATACATATACTATATGTTTATAATAACAATATTAAGATCATACGGTGGGAATATGAACCATATGCTACTTATATAGTAGCAATAAGATGACCATTTGGTAGTTATATGGTGACTATATGGTGACTGTATGGTGTTGAGATGGTGACTTTATGGTGTCGATATGGTGACTGTATAGTGTTGACATGGTGACTTTATGACGCCGATATAGTGATCTGCATGATAATTTTATGCTGATTATATGAATATTATATGGTTACAATATACTGACCGTATGGTGATTTTATGGTGGCAATTAGGTGACTGTATGGTATTTATATGGTAGCTCATACAAAATAACTGATGATATTACTTATGCTTCGAAATATAAATGTATTGTACTCTTCCGTGACATAAAATATATATAAATATGACGAAAAGGAACTACCACAGATAAGTTAAACAATATTAACTTTAATATAACTATCAACAAGTAACAAGTTAACTTATTATGTTCTGTTTCCCGCAACATAATAAATATGTAACTATGTAAATGCGTTATATTTCAGTTATTTACTAAAGCAAATGACTTGAAAAGTTGCTGATATTGGCATGTAGCTAACATTATAATTTTATAAATTTTGAGTATCAGTTCTAAGCTTATTCTCCAAACAGTTACAATTATTTAAAGTTATAAACTAGAACTTTTGAAGTAGTTTTAGTTTATATTAAATTAAATATTAAACTCAAAAAGTTTATACTGCTCTCAGCAACTATGAAATATGCATACCACATCCTGCAGAGGGAAGATAAGTAAAATTAAACTTCACTTGACTAAAGAATTTATTGTTCCTTAGTTAAGTTATTTACCAAACTCATCTAGTAAAAGTGAAGAGTGCAACGAAATAATACAAACTTCGATGCTTAATAAATATGTAAACAAGTGTATAAAATACGTACCCGTATGGTAAGTAAACTTATTTGAAGATAAAATATTTATTCATACATGCCCACAAATACTCTTACTTTTGCACTAATTAAAATTTTATGGGAAAGCGATTCTAATTTTCCCACTTGAGAACTAATTTTCTTTGAATTTTTAACCTTTAAGTGAGCAAAACGTAAGCAGAGGCAGCACAGTCGTCCCTGATAAAGATCAAAAAGCACTTAACGCCACTGCAACAACGACGAACGAGGAACGAGGAACGAGGAAACCTACTGCCAACGTCGGAGACTTTCCGTGAAGTCTCCTTACAGGTACTTCACAACCAACGCCGCTACACGGCACAAGACGCCAGTGCTTTCATGGAGGCGATATGTTTAAATGTAATTAACCAAATTTAGTTGCATGTCGACAGAAGCGAATGTATGCGTGTGCATGTATGTGTGCGGGCGGAAGTAGGCATATCTTCCTGTAATTACATGTGTACAAAGTCCTTAATGGGTAATTACACAATTCCGTGATAAATACTGCGCATATGTGTAACAAGGTTGGTAGATTCGAATTAATTTCGAATTTAATTCTATGTGCATAAGTGCGAGCAAATGTGCAGACGCGTCTTTACACGGTGGGGATTTGTGAATTTGTATTGCTCTGTGCATTTCTTGAGCTCTTATCGCCGCTTTACGGTTCAGTCTCTTTTTAAAATTTAATGAAACTAATTTGCCTCCACAGGTATACAAATATTTTTTTCCTAATTAATTTTTAAGTACAACCTAAGTTTAAGCATTTTTAAGCACATAAATATTAATATATTAAATTTATTCGAATTGAATTAATGCCATATTATTTTTAAAAATATTATATATAAGATTTGAGGTTAATTTTTTCTGTAATTAGTGTAATTAAGAAAAATAGTAAATTTGTTTTTGTTTTTTTTTGTATTTACTAAAAGTATGCATATGTTTATCTGACTATCCACAATTATGGATTAACACTTAACACTTACATTTTATAAATTGGAACATAGGATAAATATGGCCTTTCCAGAAGACCTTGTTCAATGTTTGCGCTGTAAACCCCCCCCATTACCTGTCACACTTCTTCGATGAGTGGGACCGTAACCCCTCACAATCCCCCTATATAACCGCGTCTTTCGTGACCCCAGTCACAAAGTGTATCATTGACCTCACCCCCGCTAATTAGACATAACCCCACACCCTCCAATATCATCTTTCATCTTACTTAGTTCATGCCCTTGCCTAACTTTCAATTACTGACAATTTGGAGCCAGTATTGTTGCTCAAAAAATGAGCAACATTATTGTTTGTAAGCCATGTATTATAATATAAAGTGACTTTGTTAAAGATAATTTCTTCTCACTCACTCAGAAGAAAAGAAAAAATCGCGAAATCTATACTGAGACCAAACACTAAGGCTATCACATTTAAAATCATCTGTAGTATGTACACAAAATAACAATATAAGAATTATTGCAAGAATTCTGGCAAAGCACTGTAGCTGGAATTTATAGATTTTATTGAATTTAGAATGATAAGACAAAGCACATTTTAGGAGTTTAACATGCACTGATATATAAACCAAAGAAATATCTAGATGGGTATCTTATTTCGAAAGAAGAAAAAAGATTCAAGAAATTTGGTTCAGTACAACTATTAAATTGAACTCATAAAATAGATTCAATATTATTATTGGATTGAACCTATAAAGTAGGTGCAGCAAACCTATTGAGCCCTTAAAATTACTTTCAATATAAGTTTTAATCGTAGAAGTTGGACTTGGAGAAATACTCTGAATCCTATAAGTGGGCACTATAGGTTTCTAGGTGATAGTACATAATCCCTTAACTTAATAATAAATTATCGCTATACGCATATTTGATACTCTACGAATTTGATTCCAAGAATATTTTTACATTTCTCAATTACATTGTATATAAATTGGAATTTACTTTGATATAATTGAAATTTTATTCTAAATTCTCTGAAATTTATTCGATAAATAAGAAAGAAACTAAAAATACTTTTGATAGAAGGAAATGTTTTAATGTGATTCATACTGATGTGCGCTATTACTCTGCCATAAACTCAGTTCTCAATTTCACTTCCAGTAAAATTCTAAATCATAACTAAAACTAAAAATCAAATAAAATTTTATAATCAAATTATTCATTCAATTTGGTAGGATGACCTGCTGTGTTACCACAACTACATTTTGTCGGTATTTAAATACAGGAAACTGGCCAGAAGCAGCACGTACACAAATCTTTTCAATTATTGTGGAAATATGAGCTGCTCATTTTTAGAAACGGAACGACAACGATTTGAAAACCAACTACCTTAAATTTGACCTACTTTCTATTTTAAGAGTAAACAGAAAGAATTGTTTTAAATAAATTATTAACATTTTGATCTCACCTAAAAATAGAACCAGAAAACTGAACCTGAGGCTCCTCTGGCAATCTCATAAGATTTTATGGTATATATGTACGTAAGCATTTGCGTTTTATTGCCGACATGGTAACTTAAGACTGAAATGACAACTACAACAACAGTAGCAACAACAACAACTACAGTAGCAACAACGACAGCAGCAACAATGACAGCAACAGTTAAATAAAATTCATTGTTCTCACAAAGAATTGTTTCAAATAAAGTCATCATAAATTCTTCAGGAGTAGTACACGTTGCACCGTGCACAGGACACAATCCTGTCAGTCATTCATAACACTTTGGCTAACATAACCAGAATGGTCTTTGAACCTATATTCGTAGATTTTCATCAAACCCATGAAGGAAGCAAAGAGCAAATATATCGGGGTAAAGAGTAACAATGCAGAAAAAATGTTTGATTGGTATATTTTAGCCACTTGCAGGTATATATGTAGGTATATATGGCAATGTATGAGTGCGACAGTTTCTACA